TAAGACGGTACGTTATTTTCCTACTATCTCAATCAAGTTAACGAGTATATAGTATATTTATAAGGTATGTTCTTTTAACTCATAGAATGAGGAAGTACCTGAGACTTTGGAAGAGATTAGAAAAAATATAAGAAAGTTGAAAGCGAAGCTAGTGGTAAGTATTACATGATTTTTTAAGATGTATTTTTAAGATTCTCATATGAGGTACTTTGTCCAGAAAAATACATCGTTGCTCTATCAAAAGTTATATGATGGTGTGAAGGCGATAAATGTTTCGGAATTGTCATGGAAGGATCCTCTAGCCAGCCAGGTTATTAGTGATGATTCAAAGCTGGTACAACAGTTACCAAATTATCTGTATAATATTTTTATGGTAAGCATTTATATAGTATTTACCTACAATAAACAATATAATTTTAATATTTTTTGTTATTACTAGAAACCTGTTCATCAAATGGTACCTACTTTGTTGCCTATTATCCAAGAAACTTGCATGGAATTTGTATCATGGTTCATTAGACAACAGGTTGAGGTTCCACCTGAAAAATTAAAACATAACAGAACATGGTATGAATCAGAAGATGATATTATAGGAGTTACAGAAAGGATTCTCAGTACCTTGGAAGATGCTTGGAATAACACAGCATTTAGTCACGAATTTGCAGAATCACTAAATGAAGGAACCTATGTGACCAATGTGATAGTCCCTGCGATTTGTGCTTCATTAAAAAATCTTCCTTATGGGAAGTCCTCATTTGTTAGCACTTCGGAAAGACAGAGTACTGCTAGTGCTGATAGAAAAGGTCATATAGGACGACGACCTGACATTATGTTCGTGATAAAATTCCAGGAAAGAGTTTATGAACTTATGTACTCCGAATGTTCCCGTTTATTCTGTACGGAACAAAAAAAGATAGATGACGAAGTGAAATTATGGCGTGAAACTAATGATGGTATGTATTGGACACGTAAAGGACTCAAACCAGATAAAGATGAGTTTGGAATTGTTGGAGTGCAAATAGCAGGGAGTATCTAAATGTTCTGATTAGGGATAAGGCTGATATTCATAGATATTACCATATACGATCAGCTGAAATTCCTGTACAATTATCTAATGAAGATATAGTAACTAACTTTGTTGAAACTTTATTAATTTTATGGAATATAATAATTACAAACATATCTCTACTATTTCATGCGTCAGTAACCAGATCACAAAGACATATAGAAAAAAGTTCAACAGTGACTTCACCATAGGTTTGATTTTTATTTCTTACTTATATTTCTTTGAATTTTATTGCTAACAAACTATTTATAAAAAATATGAGTCATATACTCCATGTATTAAAAACAATAAACCAATTTATTTGCAATGCATATTACCCTCTCCAGTTCTGCTATGAATACCTGATTTGATGTTATTCACCTCTAAATATCTACATAACTCTCCATAATCAAATACTGCCTTCCTATCTTGCGTGTTCCTATTAATTATAACTATATTTTCACCTTCTATGACATGCATATATTTAATCAGATT